CTTGGATGAGTGATACCAAATCAATGTTACAATGTCTCTACACAATAGCAGCATAGCAGATTTTATCGAGAAAGGCGTCATCCCCAGCCTAAAAAGTACCCGGAGGTAAGCAGTGTGGTCCTTTGCTCTACATAACCCATTGATCCTGCAAAAGGTAAATTAGTCATGAATTTTTGAAATAGTCAGTTCCCTTAACCAAAACCCTCGGGTTCGAAATTTTGCTGTGAAAATGGAAACAGAGCTACTGCAATTTAAAAAAAAAAAACATTAATATTAAGTAGTGAAAGTTTTTAAGAAAAAGGAATAGGACATAAGTTGTCTGTTTCAAAAGTGATAACAAATTGTTAAAAGACAGTCTCTTTTAATCATTTTTAATATTTCCATTGAAATTTCATCATATCTTTTCTTCTAATAAAATATAAGTACAGGTACAAGTGCATGAATGTTCATATTTCTTTTACAGTCCATTCTGCATTTGCTTTTTAAACACTGTTAGACCAGAGACCTGGTTAGACTCTATGCCTGGGTGACCCAGATCTTACATAATGTTTTGGCATGCCATTGTGACCAAGAATCACTGCACGTATACCACTGCACACCTTCTAAGTAGATTACTTTCGTATATGTAAAGGTTCCAAAAGAATCAATCCCACCCCAGGTAACAGGGTTTGTTGTGAAATATTCAGCAGTCTATCAGATAATAAATCATGACTTTGAAAATTCAGTTACCTACTAAATTGTATTGTCGGTAGAAATATAAGAAGAGAGTTAAAGTAATTTGATAGCTAAGAGAAAATGTATGAATCTAACTGATATGAGATCACAGATTGAGTTATTACAATTTTTGATTTGTTCATATAATAATTAATGAATAATTAAGATGCAATAATTTAGCTCTTTTTTTATGGGGAAGAAACTTTCTTTAGACATTAGTTTTGATGAAGTTCTAAACACAAAACTATAGGTGAGAGGGAATCTATATCTTATTATTCGCAATTAATATGAAAATCTGCTTTACATCTTCAACTGCATTGATTGGGAGTTAAAAATATTAAATGCTTAAGCTTCAATATTTAAACCTCAGACATGCATGGCAAAATAGTAGCTCAAATATTGTTATCGAAAATAAAAACCTGACGAAGAAACCCACAAAAAGAATATTCTGTACAAAAGAATAAGCATTTGTAATAATCTCACCTTATTTTCCATTACATCGCAAAAGGGTGGAGCGTCTATCCTAAGATCAGTAATAGGATATAGGGTCTCAAAAATTAATCATCTCCTACTGAACAAATAGCTTTTAGTACGACTAGAATCAGATAAGATTGTTTGTAAGGCATTTAGTCTTTTTTTCCTCCGAAAAGGGAAAGAAAACAGATAAAATTGAGATGCCATATTTCATGGTTTGTTTAAAATTATAGATCTGGAAGTTCAGGGGTCTGTGCTTTATGTTCTGCTCACAAATTTGAATTGATTATATTTTTATGAGATCGATCACTGTTCGCTATCCTCACCTTGTCACCTTTATATATGATTCTCGATTCACCATGTATATTTCAACGAATAATTTAATTTGTGTGTTGTGTTCAAATATCAAATCATTATTAATATTAATACTTAATGCATGCGTTATTTGCTTAGTTAGAAACGTCAAAACATTGATCTCAAAAGCTCAAAAATCCTCTCTTCATCGGTGTGACACAGCTTAAAATTTATTATATGATTGATATTTTTTGAAAGACTGATGATATCTGTTATCTATGAAAGCATATTTAATTCACAGTTGATCATCAAATCAAAACCACCACGTCCTAACGTTCATTTTCCCTTTTAACAAAATTACTCGTGTTTAAAGAAATTAATTCTTCACATCATAGAGTTCTACATTCTTTAGTACTATCGCTTTATGCTTCAGATGATACATCTTTAATTAACGGTTTAAATGAATATTGAATGTATTCTGAATTTCCTCTCTTTTATCTTTCGGCTTTATACGATTTTTTTTTTTTTTTTTGTAAATACAAAAGAATTGAAATAAAATACATGTAGTTCATGTGATGTAATCTATTGAGTACATGGACTGATGTAAACCTTATATCGTCTTTGTTTGTAAGGCTCATTATCATACATGTAACTGTATTTTAGAAGAACCTGGTTTTAATTCCACGTCTGGAAATCCAACTTATACTCGCAATTTACTTTCTAAAGATGAAATTCTTCAAGATCACATTTCAGTGTTTTATACTTTTAACATTCCAGTCAACCAAGGTGAGTTCAATCTACCATACCTTTACTGGATTCCTAAACTTCATAAATATCCTTACAGACAGAGATACATTGCAGGGTCCAGAAAATGTTCTACCAAGCCCCTGTCTTTAATTTACTCCTTACAAAAACATTGATTGCTGTAAAGGAGAAACATCAGATGTACTGTGCTACAGCATATTCTAGAAGTGGTGTAAATTAGATGTGGATTCTCAGTTAAAATCTCCAAAGAACTTACAGAAATTTAAAATCCCCAAATTTTTCAAAAGTCAGTCACATCAAGACTTATGAGTTTTCTACACTTTATGCAGCCATCCTCACGACAAATTAAAAACTAGGCTTTTTGATATTATAGACAACTGCTTCTTCAATAAATATGGAAGTGGAAGTCGAAAATTTTGGTATCTTGTGATTGGTCATCTACAAAATTACTTTGTTAAAATTCACCCTGATTCACAAATAAGTATTCTGAAGTTGATATTAAAAGGATGTTGTAATTCCTCATTGACAACATTGATATAGTCTTCGGAGACCAAGACTTCCAACAAACTGTTGGAATTTCGATGGGTTCTAATTGTGTTCCGATCTGTTTTTAAATTCCTATGAAGCAGAATTTATTCAAAATGTGGCCTTTAACTCGACATTTAGATATATCGACGACGTATTATTTATTAACATTAGTTACTTCCATTCATATGTCGACTCGATATATATATCCCTGTGAACTTGAAATAAAAGACACTACAGAGTCTACCACATCCGTTTCATATTTGGGTGTTTTATGAACTATAGACGATAAAGGCAAACTAACAACTAAATTGACCGATAAACGAGATGCCTTCAGCTTTTCCATCGTCAACTTTTCTTATTTATGTAGTAATATCCCAATATTACCTGCCTGTGGTGTTTACATCTCCCAACTTTTCCGATACTCACGAGCATGCTCCGAGTACGATCAATTTTTAAACAGATACCCAGGTACATGCTACTGACAGCTAAGTTGATGTTACAAGGATTTCGACAACCCCGTTATTAGTCAGCATTTCGTAAATTCTATGGTCTTTATAATGACCTTGTTAGCAAATATAACCTGTCATTGGGTCATATGTTGGCTGGTGTGTTTCACAACAAATTGTTTTTTTATACTGAATATTCCATCTATCTGATCTATACATAGGTCTCAAGGCGGGTGTGACCAGTCAACATGGGATGCTTACTCCTCTTAGGCATCTGATCCCACCTCTGGAATTTCTAAGGGTCCGTGTTTTATGCACTTTTCACATATTTGTACTGTTAATAGTTTTTATATATCGATCACTGTTTGTTATCTTCATCTTTCTCATTCATAACAAAATTTTAGTTTGAAATAAAGATTTGACATTTTTCCATCAATTTTCCCCGGGTGTTGGAGACTTAATGTTTAGGACAGGTAAAGAAAATAATTTAAAAGTATCTGCAGTCGCTGTCTTAAAAATCAGTTTTAAAAAAGTTTTCATACCGTTTTTCATATTACAGACTCTATACTTAACTCCAGGCAAATTTTCACATTGTACTGTAATATCGCATTGTATTCATACCTTTCGTAAAAAAAACCCCCAACAATTTAAATGCCTTAGTATTAGAATTATGCAATTTACCCCTGATATTGCTCAAACAATGCTATTCATGAATATATTTCATTAAACACTTTTTTTAACTTTAAAGTAGTTCACACTAAATTTGATATTAAAAATCTTGTAGAACTATTCAGAAGAATAAAGCCAGTGCTGATGATAATTTGTGAAATTTCTTTTTTATATACATGTATATCTAATTTAGAAAAGAATGCATGTACATGTAACTGCTGTCCCACTTCTTCTTCATTTTAATCTTAGCTTCTTCTCGAGTTTCCAATGTGTTATTGAATACATTTTTTACTAACTTATGTTTTATGTAATAATATAAGCTGTATTGCTTTACTAGTTTTTTCACAATAGGGGTATCATATAATGCAAAAAAGTTGTAGCATTATCTAACTTATAATGATTTAAAAGGCATGGAAATCATGTTTCTTTGTCGGTAGATATTTTTCTATAAAAGCCATGAGATTATTTCCTAATATTTCGCAATTTGATGTAGATAGTTGAAAGAAGGTGACTTACGCACGAAAAAAACCTTAATCGTGAGAAATTCCTTTTTCAAATATCTCGTACGATACAATGGCATGTTGTTTATCAATTTTTTTTTTTAAATGTGCAATACTTTAAAATACCCACGGAGAAACTTACATTGAAGCCTGCTAATTTGGTAAAAATCGCATCTTATGTTACCAGTGAAGATATTATTTTAGAAGAGACGATTTTCATTTTGAATTGTATCAATTAAGACAAGTAGAGACAAATTTAATTAACATCAAAATGAACTTCATCGAGTCTTTGCCTTAATTCACAAACCGGCATTTGACGAACAGTAATAACCGTTTTGAGAACAACTTAATACACTGAAAAGAACCGATATCAGAGCATAAAAAATTCTCTAAAATGGATTGTACATTTTGCAATCAAAGTCAAGCAAGCTACTGAAATATTCAAGGTACACTCATTTTCCTATGCAAAGGCTTAAAGCACTTCAAATGTTGACATAATTGAAAATTCAGAATGAGTGAAAAATATTTTTTTTCAATTTTAATCAATACATAAATCAATATACAAATGTACATTTAAAAACATTAAAACATAGATTAATAGAGTACGTATTTCAAGAAAGATCCACTGTGACAAAATTATTTGAATTATGTGAATAAACACTTACATTCTTTGTGTATTTACATATCTACATGTATATGTTGAGTGAAATAAACAGATGTATGAGATTTATCAAATAATAAATGTCAATACATTGTTCAAATTCATTGGTATATTCACACAAGGACGAGGAACTATTCTTTTAACGTTCCCCAAAAATAAAATCACTGTTTTTGCAGGAATGCTGTTAAATGCCCAAAAGTCTCTGGAAACACGTACCTTATGGTTGATCTTAAAAATTCCGGAATATGCCCAAGTTTTGCACCGGAGTTGCGGAAAAGTACTGGTAGAAAACGTTTGTTCATACTGTTATTTTGAATAAATTCACTTCGAGCTCTATCAAAAATGTATCTTGTGTGAAATTTGTTATCACTTGCATGAGCCTCTGTCGAATTGTCCACACCAATATATTTGAAATACTTGGGCGATATGCAAAAAATCACGAAAACCGCTCTTGTGAAGCATTGGTCTAACCATTCATTCACGTTAATATTTTGTTCTGTAAACAAAGACTCCATCATATCACATTTAACCTCAAAACCTGCTTCTTGAAGTTTGGTACACATGGTTAGGACTTCCTTGATATGATGTTTAGAATCATCTGCCAGAGATACAAACACTGTCTTAGGTCCTGAAAAAAATGAAAATTTAATTATTCATAGAGTCTTATAACTAAATGCCTTACCAACCAGTCATTATTTCACTGAGAGAGAGAGAGAGAGAGAGAGAGAGAGAGAGATTTACCTATGTGGATAACAGGACTTCTATAACATGTGCAGGCGTCTGGAATATTGGGAATGTCACCGTCGCTTTCACAGTCCTTCTTTGGTGGACTTTTTTTGTTGAAAACCGGATGTGAATGTCTCCGTGCTGGGTCTGTATTCAATTGATCTGAACCAACAGGCATTGACTGGACACGCCTTGCTGGAACATTCGTCTTTTGTCTTTGGATATTTTCACTGTGTATTCTCCTTTCAGATAATACAACACTTTCCTCAAATTCCTCATCCTCCCCTTCATAATCACTTGGAGGAATGGGGTCAAAGTCTGCGGGTGGCATAAATTCAGTGCCATTGCCAAACAGATTCATTGAAAAGGTATTCATTTCATACTCCATTACAGGTGTTTTCACTTCATCATTTTGAATTTCACTAAAGTTTGAATTATTTGAGAAGCTTCTGCCACTTCTAAAATTATTATGATGAGATGGCATCTGATTTCTGTTAACAGAATTAGACTGTTTGCGCTTATGATTATATTGTTTTGGTCCATTGTGAGCACAGTCTTTAATACCACAATTATGTCTTGGATGCCTTGCATTTTGAAATGTGCGATCAGTTACAGGTAAGGAAAATGCTCCATTATCTGAGCACTCATAACAATTGCAATCATTTTGTGACCAATTGTCAGGGGTAAGCACAAGTCCTGGCTTCTCTTCTCTTTTATACCGTCGAGTAATTTCTATAATAAAGTTAAAAATACAGTATTTTAACCCATTGTAAGTCATATTATCAATTTCCTGGTATATATGATTGATATTTTTGTAACAGCATCAGCAACCTTATCTACTGACCTCCTAAATACTTCACCAATATATCATCTGCACGGGTTTCGAGGGAACAGATCGCCATTTGTAAAATTCGAAGATTTGCATCCTTGTATTTAGCGAGGTCTTGGATAAACTTTACTGTTGGACTTTCTCCAGATGCACAGCGAGATCGCAATATCTGAAATCAAATAAGCTTTATGAAGAAAAAAAGAAATAACTGGCATGTGATGAATTTGTTCAGATATCGAAGTCAGTTAAACTTACCGATACTTTATTGTGATCGACTTTGATTGTGTAGTCACTAAGTGTGTAGATTGCCTCGGCTAATCCTTCCAGTGTCCTTTGACCATCTACAGATGGCGAATCAAAGACCTCTGCAAGCTCATTCAAGGCGTTATATGGTATGCAATGTAAAGGATAAGGGGGCAAATCGTTCAGTCTCCTGGCCATTCCTATAAAAAAGAGCAGTCTTCTTTGAATATTTCGAAATGCAACAAACATTAAACTAAATGCTTTCATAACACTAAAATTTGCATGTAAATGTTTTGTTTCTAAATGTACTATAAACTAAATACTTTCATAACACTAACTTGCGTGTAAATGCTTATTTTTAAATGTACGCTCCTGCACACCTAGGTGACTTGTGAAGATTCTATAATAGTTATTCTAATATTTATAAAAATATACATGTATCAAATTGGGCGTAAAATGCTCTGTTGAGCATGTGACCCTTTGGACTGTAAATAATGTAAGTATTCAATTTAATGCCTTCATTACCAATCTGAAATTAAAGAATTTTATGATCAGAAATTATTTTTAAAAGGAGTTTTAGAAAGATAGTTTTTGTGTTAAAAAAGTTTTTGATTTTTCCGTCCCCAAACGACCTCCTAGATGAAAATTCCTATACCTTATCGCTCTACAGGACACCATCAATCAGATTCAAAAGATGAATCAATTGAAGACAGTGTTAAATTTAAGAAGAGTTTATGGTAGCAGGTTTTTTGTAGAATAAAGCTCAATATCTGGGCTCCCAATAGATCTCCCGGAAAAAAATGAAAATTCTGAAATTTTATTGCACATATACAGGGCACCATCAATCGTTTTCCAAAAGATTATTTTTCTTCTGCACAAAATGTAGGGGGGGGGGGGGTGTTAAGAAACAGGTTTTTTAAAGAAAAAAAGTGATTTTTCCACTCCCTTCGGCTACAGTTACAAAACTGAAAATTCAAAATCCTTATTGAATGTCTAAACGGCACCAAAATTATATTCTGAAGGATGATTTGGCTACTGTGTACAATGTAAAAGGAAATGTGGGAATCGGGTTTTTGTAGGCAAACGTCGTTTTACACTCCCCCTCCCTCAATATGGTCTAAAGATAAAAATGAAAACTCTAAAATCTTAATTCATATGTACAGGACGTACACCAACAATCATAGTCAAAAAGATGAATTAGCTACTTCTTAGAATATAAGAGGAGTTAAAGGAAGAAAAAATATGACGGACAAATGGACTAGGATAACATTATTAGGAATAACTGAACGCTTTTGGAAAGTGTGGGTAAAAATTAAAATCGCTGAAAGTATATATGAGAGCCAATGTAGACCAAAAATACATGTAACTAGAAGGACGTGAACAAACATCAATAAAGAGAAATTACTGAATTTTACAATATTTTTTCACACTAACCAAAGTGAAAAATCTTAAGCGCATACTTAAGACTTTCCTGCTGAAAAGATGTTCGCCATAACAGTTTCAAATGACAGAAACTACTTTTTGTCATTTATTTTTACAAATTATTTCTTCGTTTCAGGACTAATATTCTGATATGATTGCAGCGGTCTGTCAAAGTTGTTCATAAACATATATGCATTTGTAAGTACCTTTAGATGAAATAACCTCTTCTTCGGGTTCACTTTGTAGAAAATCAGTTGTCATATTTAAATCCGCACAGTAATAACACACACTTACATAAATATATTATGAAAAACAAATAGCTGTAAAACACTGCCAGTCCTATATAATATTTTCTTTTTTATAACATGAAATCCTTCAAAATCGTGACATAAAACATCTTTATTTTCACAACAGTACTTGTTTCCTATTGTATATGTTCAGACTAACAGGGAATATCCAGAGAATATCCCAGAAATGGCATGATGACCATAAAAAAGGCCTTCCGCAAAAATATTTCTGTTTTGGCTTTTACTGTAATTGTCAATAAACCAGGATACAAACACAACAAATAATCCAAACTCCATAACGATCCACGATTGTATGTTAAAGAGTCGGGCTAGAGGTATTGTCCCTCGCTATCTCTCTACCTGTTCACATTCGTGACCGTTTTATGATAACATTACGTGAGTCAGTCTAGAAACGAGGATATCGTATACAAATTCGGTTTTATATTACTGAATATTTTTATAGTTTTATAACCATATGTTTATGTTTATTAGACTAAGGTTACGATTGTGTGAAACCGGTGGTAAGATTTGGTGACAACTCAAAACATTTTATTTAAAAAAATGTAGAGATAACTATTGTAAATACTGAGATAACCATTTTAAGTGCACATGGTTGGGAAAGTAGGACACTATACAAAGTATTGTTGATAAGTTGTTGTTTACTTAATCTCCTTTTACAACTGTGTCGCTTAAAAATTCAGACATGAGGCATGATTTGCACGTATGGTGTTTAAAGTCCAACATATAAAGGAAATATCAATATGAATACTGACTCATTATAGCTCTCATCAATACAAACTTGTTTTCAAAAGATAAAATACAATGTTGAAAACACCAGCCATATATTAAGAAATATTTACTTTAATGTGTTTTTAAATTGATTTTTAAATATATGAACATTTCGTCCCCTACAGTGACTATTACTAGTAAATAATTATTCCAATGTAGGGAGAGGGTTGATAAACATTATTATACAAATCCCTAGACCACTACACATTAGTTGGAAATTATGGTAGCATTATCCACCTATTTATGTTCACCTTTGGGGTTTACGATTGACGTACTTCGACCAGGAACTCTGCATTTATGGAATTACTTCTTTGTAATAAACATTTAAAAATTGTGAGTTGGGAAAAATTAATATCTAAGCACTGCATTGCAAAAATTTATATGAATAATGTTTCTTCATATTGCTTACACATTTAATGAAATGATTTCAAGCACAATTGAATTCAGTCTTTTATAGGGTCAGCATAATTTCCCCCTCTATTTTCTAATTATTCAATAACAAACTTTTTTTTTTAATAACAGCACATATTTTTTGATCACTAATAAGAGTATGTCATAAATATACCGCCTATTTTTATGAATGAAATGATAAGAAGCCGATACGTATCCAATATAGTCTACACAGTTGTTCAACCATGCAAAAGCGCCTTACACTTTATAACCCCGGGTATTCCAAAGAAAATTCCCCTTATGTAAATTCCCAGTTACATGTATAGTGGTGTCAAAACGACTGGGACATATCTTTTTGATATACCCATAAACGAATTTTTAAATCTGAAATTATAAAATGTTTGAGTTCAATTTATTACAATTCAAAGCAATTCAGTTGTTGTATGGAAGTCATATTTCAGCCTGCTCTCAACATGCTCAACATACAATTCTATTTTTATATTTGAATTCGTGGAAATAAAGAATTTACCTTTAATCATTTTTTGAGCACGTGATCACTTCATACCTCATAAGACATGTCTTCGGATAAGGTTTCGAATGATCAATTTTGGGGACGTAAATTTGTCTACTCTGATTTGAAACATATAATGCATTGCTCTTTCCAAATAAAAAAAAAATATATAAATCAAGAGTCTTTTTGCACTTGCGTGCATCTTAATTCGTTCAAGGGGACTATGATATATAATCTCCGAGTTCTACAATTATTAAATAGACGAGTGTGCATGTAAATCTTGTGGATAAATAGATCAACATCCAAAGTGAGTCTGTTTACAGTCTGAATTTGAGAAAGGAAATTAATTACTTTCACGAATTCTGTTGCTCTCCCAAACCAGTTTTTTCACAGTTCCCTAGATATGCTTTTCAAAAGAGTTGTTTACATATGTACCAACGGCAATGAAGGCAAAAATTTAGGTTCTACAACTGCACTCCTTCATGCACTTATCTCGTAAATAATATTTTTTGACCAATAAATAGAATTCTTTACATACCAAAAGATACCACTATCAAATTCAAGAATAATATCAAAAGGTACACTTCTATATGAATAGGGATTTGACCTGTGGGTCCCGGATTGGTTTTTTCTTTACAAAAAGCTCTTCGATTTCCGTTCCGGTGAATGACTTCAGGCTAAATGCATATAATAATTTGTTTTTCATAAACTTTTATTTCAGTAAGAAGAGGAGCCCTTTCATAGATATTGACCATGTAGCATGATATTGTCAATGTATTCTGAGTTTATTATCTCGAAATGTAATAATTGATACATGTATATTTTTCTTTTCTTCTTATGTAATGGTAATGTCTACAGTCTTAATTCTGTTCTTGATGTGTATTTATTTTACAACTCATTTCCGTAGATATGATGAAAACATGCCAATAATATATGCAAATTATATAAATGAAATCCAGGGGAGTGTAGTTACTGATATGTAGCCCTACTGTTTCAAAACCTAAGGTCTGAGTTTAGAACATTCATAACATACAAAATACATGCATGTCATTCTAAATTAGTAAGCTCAAATAATACAAGCAATGCGTAACATATTAACTCTGACAAGCACTAGTAGCACAAACGGAATTAAAGCAATGTGATTAAATTCTAAGGAATGCATACAACTGAAATTCATAGCAGCTCATTGCAGCCCAGAATACATGTACTTGTATCGAGTAACACAGAGTGAGTTATTCTTGTCCTCGAAGAAAGTGTGCTATGTTGAGGTATAATTCCGCTTGACTGTGTTTAAGATATACTGGAATGTTACGATTTGCTCTCTCTTTAGTGTCTTTTATATCAAGAATGAACATACATAAAAGATAAATATTTGAAGAAAAATACACAAGCCTATCAAAAAATTTTAAAAAGTCTTTGAAAAACTATAAAAATGTGGCACCAGGTGGATTCAAACCGACGACTTTAAAAAAAGTACCTGAGGTGTGAATAGTCAATTATATATTGAATATATATATATTGACTATATAGCGGTTATATCAATTGAGCTATTATTACTATAATAATATACTGTATAAATTTGAATTAGTAGGTCAAATTAGTTTCCTTTTTTGTAGGTTTTTTTTGGTGAATTTCAACCCTAGTTCTAATTAGTTTCCTTTTTTGTATTTTTTTTTTTTTTTTTTTTTTTTTTTTGGATGAATTTCAACGGTAGGGCAGGGGTGCTCCTAATAAAATCTAATCTTAAATTATTCCTTACATCACAACCTATCAAAATATCATAATTTTATTTAGGGGCAGACCTGCCCTGAAGGACTTCTACGCCAAAAGTCATGCAAAAATCGGCGTTTTAACGGACAAATGCTGTTTTTGCCAACTTTGGAGGCTTATTCTAAAGTTGTAAATAATAAATTTTAGGTGCAAAATACAAATTTGAAAAATTTAGAAATATATACGATAGAAAACAACTAAAGAATAATGATTTTTAAATGTGACTTTTTCCGGGAAATTGTTCTCTCCTATAGTCAATTATTTTGAAATTGTGAATATATCCTTTATTTACAAAAAAGTATCCCTGATTTTCATAATTCAAAGTTTATGAAAGAAAAAAAAAGATATTGGTATCTTTTTCATACATAACAATTACATAAATTTGATGATATATCACATTAAAAAAGTGTTTAAAAACATTGATTCTCTAAACTGTTCTACATTACAAAAAATGTGTTTGTGCAACAAACATTTAGAGGGGGCCAGGGGGCCCAGGCCCCCTTTCGTGACCCAAAATTTAGTAAAGATGAATAAATCCTTTTAGCCTGAACCCACTGGGGTCCTTAAGGCAGTTCTCAGATCTATTGGGCCCCATTTTCAAGAATCCTGGATCCGCCACTGAAGTCCACGAGCAAGTCCCAGTTATGGTGTTAACAAAGTTGACCTTTCGAACAAATGATCTTGAGTCAGGGCCTTGACATCCTTTAATATAATATTCCTTAGTGCGAAGTGCGAGCTCTTAAAGTTTTCCACCTGTAAAAATTATGGCAGGGACAATGTGACCTTTTATCATTTGACCTTTGGTCAGGGAAATGACAAATGGTCTAGTCATAAGTTAATTGTGCTTTTTTGCAAATACAAAGTTCTTCAAATGTTGCGGGCTATTTGTAAAGAGAATAAACAATTTGCCTCTTCAAGCTATCATATTTGGTTTTGGGAGCATATATATGCTCAAATGCATAGAATAATGAGGTTATAGGGAATAATGTAGTAAATGCAATTGGCACCTTAAAAATGCCATTAGCTCAGAATCAGAAAACAGAGGTATGTATCAACCGTAATATGAATCCACTTTTATGACTTCTTTTTTTAAATCAACAGGAAATAGTTTCCCTCAAGTGAAACAAAGATATTTCAGTGTTCTATGCCATGTCCTTGTGTTTTGTTTTGTTGTTTTATAAACAAATAAGTGAGACAATAGAAACTTTCAAAAACTTTTCTCCCAGTAACAATATGTATGTTCTGTGAAAATGTTTTTCAATTTTTGACCGAATAAGACTATAGCCATGCCGTAAACATCGGATTGAACGATATAAATTATAACCGGAAGTTGTGAAGAGTATAAAAGGTTCAGATCGCTTATGTATTAAATGTTCTAACTCAGTATAATCACTTTACAGAAATTGTTAGCCATAGAATGAAACCTTGCTCAATCTTAAGTATTTAACATTATATAAATAAAATGTAGTGAGCATTATTTACCACAAAGTATTTATAAACGTTCCTAAAAAAAAATCGTCTGACGTAAGCAAGTTAATTCATGGACTACTAATTTAGTTAAACAGTTAAATCAGTAATCAAAGTTAAATCCATTACTATCAGACAATTACTCTTGCTTTGTTACATATATCTAATTATATAAACAGAGTCTGTGTTTTTCAAAATCAAAGATTGTTTAAAGAACTAATGAAAAAGCATGTGACTGTTGTTTGATAAAAGGCTTAACATATATGATTGACATCCACAAGTCTTTAGATTCCTCTTTCGTATTTATAAAGAAAATGAACAATTTTCATTCATAAGTACCAATTAACACAATTAATTGTTCTTTCTTCCGCAAGTAATTGAGATGGGATGTAGTCAGAATTCTCAAAGCCAATAAGGATC